AGGTACTCTCCTAGAAAGCTGAGGCCCACAAGTCAGAGTCTCTGAAGCTTTTAGTTTTCTAGGAGAGCATATATATTGCCATTGATACAGTATTTCACAAACTTGATTTGGGGTATTATTATCTTCTGTAAAGCCATGGGGTCCTGGTGTCTACAAAGCTTACTTTTAGGGAATTTAAAAATTTTCCACGAAGTGATTGAAACTTCCTTTCAACTACTAAAAGTCACAGGAAAGGAAGTCAATTTCAGATGACTGGAATAATGGCTATACTACTCTATTTGCATTACAAAAAAATAAAAAGAGAGTGCTGCTTTTTGTTTTTAACTGAAACAGAATTTAAAAAGTAATGTTTTTGTTTACAATCTAAAGGGTACACAGATTTCATCTGTACTCACAGCCTACATGGTTTATCACTGATGTCTAAAGGTATTACTTATCCTCTTAAGGAAAAATGCTTTCCTTTGTTTTATGGAATGGATGAATTACTATTAATGCTGATTTGGACCTGGGATTAAATTTGCTGCTTATCTCATGCTTCCAGACTATATTGTTATCTTATTTTCTTTGCAAATCATAGCCATTCCTCTTCTTTTTAGATGTCGTATGTATTTTCATTCTGTTTCGTAGTGGTATTCTGAATGTCAATTATCCTGAAATAAATTTTCTCCTGGTTCACCTATGAGAAACCTGCTATCAAGAAGTTTAAAGAGGGCGATGCCTATGGCTCAAAGAGGTAGGGAGCCAGCCCTCTATACTGGATGTGGTGGGTTCAAACCCAGCCCCAGCCATAAAAAAAAAAGCAGCTTAAAGAATGTTGTCTAAAGTCATAGACTGTGTCAATGAAGCCACTGTATTCAATTTTAAAACATTTCAGAGTTTATAGCCAATAAATAGTGAATTTAGTAAATCTCAGTGTGCGCGTGGAAAGCTAGAATTAAAGTCTCGGCTTTTTGATTTCTGCTGCATAGCAGGTTTCTCATGGTGAACCAGGAGAAAGTTTATTTCAAGAAGGTCCTACAAAGAAGGTCCAACCCTCACATAGTAGAGATGAGAAAACATGCCCCCAGAAGCGCTTAGATATCTGCTTTGTCTTCTTCTTTGGTTTAGGGTGCTCACTTTTTTTTTTTTTTTTTGAGACAGTCTCAGTATGTTTCCCTCGGTAGAGTGCAGTGGCATCATAGCTCACAGCAAGTTCAAACTCTTGGGCTTAAGCGATTTTCTTGCCTCAGTCTCCCAAGTAGCTGGGACTACAGGCTCTCGCCACAACACCTGGCTATTTTTTTGTTGTAGTTGTCATTGTTGTTTAGCAGGCCCAGCCGGGTTTGAACCCACCAGCTGGGGTGTATGTGGTTGGTGCCCTAACTGAGCTATGGGTGCCGAGCCTAGGGTAGCTCACTGGTACTGTTGAATTTATACATGTACCGAAGCCAATTTTCTTACCTGTTTTTTTGCAATATGAATGAACAATTACATGAGAAAACAATAATTTAAAGGATGATTTTTTTTTCCTTTTGAAACTATTTTCAAAATTTTCACATCGTATATGTTGAGAATTTACATCACCAAGAGAGTGAGAAAGTATTGAGGCTCAACCACTAAGTAATTCACATAAGTGAGAGTTTTTCTTCTTAATGCTTAACTTGAAGTTGAGTAGAAAGCTTGATGAATTGAACATAGACGATGTGGTATTATTTCATAGTTTGGGGCTTCCATTCCTTTGCTACTGCTGGTTTTAAGAAAGACCTAACATTGGGTTGATGAAACTTCAGAAGATGAATATAGGCTTAGGAAGAGCTGAGGCTCACTTTGAGACAGTATTCAAATACTTCTGGGGGCCCCAGAACTGGAAAGAAAATCTCAGCAGTGGTTGTCAGCCGTTTCGTTCTCATGGTTGAATTTCTGTTGTCTGTCATCCCTTCATGATTGCTTATTTTTTTTTTTTTTTTTTTTTTTTTTTGAGACAGAGCCTCAAGCTGTCCCCCTGGGCAGAGTGCCGTGGCATTACAGCTCACAGCAACCTCCAACACCTGGGCTCAAGCGAGTCTCCTGCCTCAGCCTCCCAAGTAGCTGGGACCACAGGCGCCCGCCACAACGCCCGGCCATTTTTTGGTTGCAGCCGTCATTGTTGTTTGGCGGGTCCGGGCTGGGGATTCGAACCCACCACCTTAGGTGTACGTGGCTGGCGCCTTAGCCGGTTGAGCTATAGGCGCCGAGCCCATGATTGCTTATTTCCAATATGTCGAAAGTGGTGTACAAATTTATCTTTAGTTGTTCACCATGTGGAGAGAATGTGGGTGAGTTTTTACTGTTATACGTGAGTAAAGGTGTAGGGTATTAGAGCTTAAGTTTTTTCACATAAAGCAAAATAACAGGAAGGCTGGGTGTAGTGGCTCATGCCTGTAATCCTAGCACTCTGGGAGGCTGAGGCAGGTGGATTGCCTGAACTCAGGAGTTTGAGACCAGCCTGAGGTAAAATTAGCTGGGCATTGTAGCGGGCACCTGTAGTGGGAGACTGAGGAAAGAGGATCTCTTGAGCCCAAGAGTTTGAAGTTACTGTGAGCCATGACACTCTACCAAGGGCAACAAAGCGAGACTCTGTTTCATTAAAAAAAAAGAAAAATAACAGGAAAAAGACAAAAATGACTTTGCTACACGGTTAAGTTGTACATTTTTTTGTTACAATTATAAAAGTCCCCAGAGATCTATTAAAATCCTTTCCAAATGACAGCTTTAAAACAATTCACAATGGTATAATAAAAGCAAACTTACTATTTAAGCAAAACCAAGGCTGTAATATTTGAAGCACTTGTTAATTTAGAAAGAACAAAATGTCATTTTGTTCTGTTTGTTCCTATTAACATGTTTACTTAATACATTCATTTTCACCTATTAAATTTTTTCCTGTGTAACCAGTTCTTGTGATAAACTCAGTCTGGATGTTCTCTGCTGATGGCATCTCTTCCTATTTAATTTCTCCGAGAAGATAGCAAGGCATTCCATTCTGTTTGACTCTTTGTAAGTAGGAAGGGATCCTTGTTGCGAGAATGTCATCAGTATCACTGTCACCAAGAAGAGAGACAGGGCTGGTTTGGAGAACACTAATGGCATCCTTGGCTTTTTCTTGGCCCAGCCGCTGAAAGTATTTATGGGAGTAGATTTACTTTGTTCTCATAAACACAGTCAGATTGATTCTGTTCCTTGTCCTTCTGCTACTCGTATACGTGTGTTATATAGGGGATACTTTTTTCTGTTCGGGTTTTTTAGAAGCTGGACCACCATGAAAGGTGGGTATGGGCACATGTGCACGTAATGCATTGTGAGTCAGCCTCTGTGGCTGTTTGCTGTGTATTTTGTCCTGCTTTCTTTTGCATTATTTGTCTCACTTGTGTGTTGAAGAACCATCAGTAATGACTGGCTGTAGGTAACAGAAGAACCAGGTGATAGGCCTGCCCCAGACTGGTGGTTTCTTTTGTCCCATAAGCAATATTAGGGGAAGCTGGCTGGTTGTCAAGACTGAGGATTCTAAAAATTTCTTGGCTTAGCTCTAATAGTTGCAAGATGGCCTAGTCATTACACCGACCTGCTATCTAGGAGGAAAAAGAGAGGAGGAAGAAGAAAGGAGAGATCTGTATCCATGGTCTTACCAGAACTGTGTAGTAGGCTTCTGCCATCTGCTCATTGGCCATAGGTTCCATTCTCCCTAGCTGCAGGCAAGTCTAGAATTGTTTGTGGTCCAGCCTTTGTTGTAGAGGAAGGCGAGGGGACAGAGGTTAGTATGGCTGTTGAATGAGCCAGTTTCTGCATCTTCCAAAAAGAGTTAAAGATTCTAGAGGTAGCAAGGCATTGTGGTGGGTGGGTGCCTTGTTACTCAGGAGGCTGAGGCATGAGGATTGCTTGAGACCAAAGAGTTTGAGGTTACTTGAGCTGTGATGGCCATAGCAGTTTATTCAGACTCTGTCTCAAAAAAAAAAAAAAAAAAGGCTTGGTGCTTATTGTTCAGTGGCTAGGGTACCGGACACATACATCGGAGCTGGTGGGTTCAAACCCAGCCCAGGCCTGCTAAACAATGAGAACTACAACCAAGAAAGGGCTGGGCTTTCGCTTAAGCCTGAGAGTTGGAGGTTGCTGTGAGCTATGCCTAGTGATGGGATTGTGGAATCAAATGGAAGGTTTAATTTGAGTTCTTTGAGGATTCTCCATAGTTTGTTTTGTTGCTGTTGTTGTGTTTTGTGAGGCAGCGTCTCACTGTGTTACCTTCAATAGAGTGCTGGGTTGTCACAGCTCACAGCAACCTCAGATTGTTGGGCTCAAGCATCTCTCTTGCCTCAGCCTCCCAAGTAGCTGAGACTACAGGCACCTGCCACAATGCTCTGCTATTTTTGTGTTGCAGTTGTCATTGTTGTTTTAGCTGGCCCGGGCCAGTTTTGAACCTGCCACCCTCTGTGTACGTGGCCGGTGCCCTATCCACTAAGCTACGGATGCCACCTGGATTCTCCATACTTTCCTCCAAAGAGGCTGTATTAGTTTGCAGTCCCATCAACAGTGTAAAAGTGCTCCCTTGGGCAGCACCTGTGGCTAAAAGGAGTAGGGTGCTGGCCCCATATGCCGGAGGTGGCGGGTTTAAATCCAGTTTAAATCCAAAAACTACCAAAAAAAAAGGGTTCCCTTCTTTCCACAGAAGCTAGTAATGTTTCAGCTTGGCAGACAAGGAGAAAATCGGAGACCAGACCAGGAAGTCTCTGGGGCACAGGGCAGTCTAGTTCTGAGTAGAAGGCTTTGTGACCCGGCTGGTTCCCGGTCTTGAATGATGTGTCTGTCACCTTGATTTCCCTTTAGCAGCTTTGCATCTACTGTGGCACTGACAGCTTGTCTGTCCGCAGCTCTGCTTCCTCCACACTTTGGCTTACTCATGACACTGCTCTGAGTGTCCTGGTGGCCTCACCTTCTGCTGTGTGTACTATGTCCCTGTGCGCTTCCCTACTCCTCAGCTTTCTAAGAGAATCTGGTTGGCCTGGTACCTTACCATCGTCCTTGTTTTGGAAGGAGTTGTTAGGCTTGGCCCATCCTGGTCATTGGCCAGTCAGTCTGTTGGCTGCTGTGGGATCTGCTGCCCATTCCTGTCCAGTCAGATGTCATCTGTGATATAAAACAGGTTCGCTGAAGACTACCACTCACCAGGGCGAGGAGGAAGAGGGTCAGGCTGATTGAGGGGCAGGCGCAGTGCAAATACAAATTAGGACATGTGCCATAGCTTACCTGTGTGCCCCTATCGTTTCATAAACACTTCTTTTTTTTTTTTTTTTTTTTTACAGAGCCTCAAGCTGTCCCCCTGGGCAGAGTGCTTGCCCATGGTACTAGGCATCTGAGTGGCCTT